AATTAATTTGCTATTTGAAGAATAATGATTCCTATGTGGCAATCTCAGTTAATATTTTTTCATGTGACAATGTGTATGGACAGGTAAAGAAAGAAGTCTGTGTTACTTGAAACAAAGGTAGCTGCTAGGTCAGATATTTTGTAAAGTTGAGGTTACTGCATTCTTTGAACAATAATAAAAATATCATTATTTAGTGATCATTAGCACTTTAAAAAGCAGCAGTATATGTAGCCTATGAAGTAAACACCTGTACTATATAAGGGACATGATTTATATTAAAATCAAGAAATTTATCTCCCTCAAGAAAATCAGCCTCTATTTTGGAATGGTAAATACTTTAGGGCATTTTTTCTCAATTTGATTTTATTTTTAAGTGAACAGAACTGGTTTGCTTGCACAAAACCTTCTCCTTGATACTTGCTTCCTTCCTTATGGAAGATGATATTTTTTGAGATTTTTTTGAAATTACCAAAAAGTGCAGTTAATATTCTTTCTAGAATGATTGAATATGTGTGTCTGTGTGTGTGTGCTCACATACATGTGAGAGGGTGTGTGCTGGGAGAGATTTACGATAAAATACAAAGGAATTGTACATAGAAACATCAAAATACATATGTTGTTCTATTTTTGCCGTGCAAACCCAAAAGCCAGTCACTAAAGTTGTGATCGATAGGAGGGAATAAGAGAGAACCTATTTTAAGCTCTGTGTGCCTCAGGTGGTCCACTGAAATATGTTCTTGAGTACTTCAGTGCATCACAGCACCTTGTTCTGTGTGAAACTGGTAGCTGTTTTTTCGTCTGAATTTAGCAGGAGCAGATCCTAGATGCTGAACATAGTTAAATGCCTGTGCTGAGATTGATAATGACCTTTCTAGAAAGTGTTGTCTATTCAAAGACTTGACTTTTCCAGCTTCTTCTTCAAAAAACATTGTCTATTTTTATCCACTCTTACCTGTGGTCACACTTGAAAACTGCCAGTTAAAAATAATTTAAGTATACATTATTTTACACTTGCTTGTCTTTGAACAGGACCGATTTAAGCTTTAGCAGGGCCCGATTTAAGCTTTAGCTTGACTTTAGAAGTCACAAGGTGTCAGTTCTTCTCCCATAGACCCCTTCATTTCTCCCTGGCAAGATTTCCTATCTGTCTGAAACTTGCCATGACATAAAGAAGCCTGCACCTTTAAGTGCTCTCTTTCTTATTTTTTGGGGGAGGGAGGTGCAGGGTGCAGGAGCAGGCCATCACATCTGCTGGGAAGGGAAACTGCTGGGAGAGACAGCAGGACTGTCACTCGACAAATACATTCAAAATTTGACTTCAAATGCAAAATTACTGAAAAAAAAAATCCCTAAAATTAGTGCGTCGCCAGTAGGTCTACTAATTAGCAGCAAGAAATTTCCCACATACTAGGCTGATTTAACAGCTACATCTGAAGTGAGAGGCTCACTCAGCTTAAATTTCTGACTCTCTGCAGAGTGATGGCTGACTTCATATTGCCTTTAGAGCTAGGGCATCGCTTGGTCATGGCAGTGTTAGGACTGTGTATTAGTATGTCGTGTCTGTATTTGAGATTGTTCTCTAGAGCGTGTTTCTGGATACTTTATCCAGCCTCTACATGGAGGAGCAGAAAAAGGATTTTATAGAAACATTCAAATACAATGCGATAGCTAAAGAAAATCAAACAGAACTGATAGAGCAATTCATCTTTTGGTCAATTAGTGAAAGTTCTAGTGGGTTATCGGGTTTTTTTTGCCTCCAAATTATTTTCCCTTCATACTGTGATAATTGCATTTACCTTTAAAGAAGTGAGAGAGTGAAGACCTAAAAAATACTACATATTATATTATCTCTTTCTGTGAAATATGAAAATATAGAAGATGATATCTTCATATCTATTAGGCCTTAAGGCTTTGTTGAACGGTGCTATTAAGATACATGTATTAACCTATATATATTCTCTTAGCCCCTCTTCAGTTTCTTTGGTCATAAAATTTCTGTTTTGTTGCTTTCTGTATGCTGGGGATATAGACAGAAAGGCTCCACATGAGTTTTAAATGTTGCTTGTCTCTCTTTCTATCACTCTGAAAAACCTGGAAATGTGTTCGGTTTATTTATTTCCCTGAAAGAAGTGAAGAACAAATTATAATACTGGAAATACATACTCTGAGGAGCATCAATTTAACCTTTTATTTGCGAACCAAATAAATGAAAATGTATCAAGACTTAAAATTAATTTACTAATTGAAAAAAAAAAAAGGTTTTTGGAAATGCTGTTACACAGACAAATTAACATGTTTGTTTTTACTTTGTAACTGTAGTACATTTACTCCTAAAATGCAAGGCAGACGGATGGGGACTTCAGGGAGAATCACTAAGAGCACAAGTGTGAGTGGAGAGATATATAAGCTGGAGCACAATGATGGGAGTCAGTCGGACACGGCTGTCGGCATGGTTGGAACAGGTGGGAAGAAAAGGCGTTCCAGCCTTAGTGCCAAAGTGGTTGCCATAGTGTCTCGAAGGAGCAGAAGCACATCCCAACTTAGCCAAACAGGTGAGTGAGACACACACTCTTCAGAAACAGGACTCTCACCAAACACGATTTACCATTATTTCATCTGTGGCATCTGTGTTACGTGTATATGGATATAGATCACTCAGGAGAGAAGATTTTCCAGCTGTGAATAAATTTCTGAAATACTAATTTTTTTTGATCATTACACATCTGCAGGAAACAGTATACAAATGCCTTTTGAAATTCGTACCATAACAACTTTCTGTCCTGATCAATGAAAAATGTTTTTATCTCTTAGAAGTCTTGTTTACAGGTAGGCAAGGAAATGCAAAGAGACATATGTGGGATAACGGTTTGGCTAAGAGCAGCTTTTTATGTATAGGAAATTTCTTCTAGCAGAAGGCTTGAGTATGAATGGGGGAATTGAAATCTGAGCAAATGAATGGCACTTATGTAACTCGAATAAAAGGTTGTACTTGTCGTAGCAAAAAATATGGTTTTAAAAACTACCTTTGATTTCTTAGTTGAGAGTAAATCCAATATTTTTTCTTTAAAAACAACACTGGCAAATGAGGGTCAGTGATTTCAGATAAATTGGACGACAGCATGATGCTTCATTAGGAACATAAGACTTCCAGTTCTTTACTGTGACTTCAGAAATCTTAAAAGCTTCATATCTGCATAGCCTGAAGGAACAAAAGCTCATACAGAGAGATACAAAAGGGGGAAAAAAAGGGTTTTAAAGTCCCTGTCCTGCTCCTATTGAACCTCAGTGAAGAGTTTTGCTCTTGTCTTCAGTGGGAGCAGGATCTGACCCTAAGGGTTTGTTCTTTCCAAATGAAGGAAAAGAAAGAGGAAAAGCTTCAGCCTAGCCTAGAATGCACACATATTGCAGCACTTCTCTCACATAGTCAGGGTAATCTAAACTAAGGTAAGTAACAATATTGTTTATATCATCAAATATCTCACCCTTTTCCCTTGATTTTCTTGTATTGCCAAATGAGCAGTAAAAGTGATTCTTTCAAAATGTAAAGCTTGATCAGCTTTAACAAAAAAGAATGTAATACTTTTCTATACTACTTATTTATGAATTTTAAGTCAGAAAGCATACAATCATGCAGTTGGACCAAATGAGAGAGGTAGTAGGTATATTGGAAGCCCAGAATTGTAATTAATATTGTGTTGCTAAGAAATACACTCTGCCTGAATATTAGACTACAATATAGACAGTTGTATACAGGAAGATGTTTGAGATGCATCAGGATCAATGACATGCTCTTAAAGTAAAAAAAAAGCGGTATTGTATTATAGAAGGGCTTTTAGGTTGATGTTTTACTCCACTTACTATAAAGAACAAAATATTTTTAGTATTTTACAAAATGTTTTTGTGGTTTGATCTGACATTCTTTTCTAGCTCCTAAATCTCATTGAAATAAGAATTGCTGTGACAGAGAAAATCTTTGCTCCATCTTACTCAGTAGTCCAGCTCTGACCAGGAACCAGGGCTGTATACCCAGGAGGAAGGCACAGAGGGCTACAAAACATAGGATGATTTGCCTGGCATGAGCCCTAACCCACTCTTCTCAGTGAAGTTAGTAAATAACTAAAAATCTGAACTGTGACTTCCAAACACGTCTCAGGATTATCTATTTAAAGCTCAAATGTTCCCGTTCTTCATAGAAAGATACTAAATTTTGCTTAGTGTAAATTTCAAAACAATAGGAATTTTGCAAGGAATGGAGCACCTAAAGTTATAATGAAACTCAAACAGCAAATCAAATATGAAAAGTACGATTATGTATATTCATGATTGTAAAACAGAGTTGAGCATGATATTTACTTTGCCTTACTGTGGGTCAGGCAAATGGTACTGTGTTACAAGCAGAGCAAATAAAACGTGGCATGTTTTGTCAGTCATTATTTTTTTAGTTAAATTATGTCAGAAATCAGTGAGTTGAATTAATGCACTTTTTTAGAAGGATATACACATGAGACTTGGTAGGTTTTCCAGAGAAAATCCATTATTGAAGACTAAATACTCATGCCCTAAATCAGAGGCCAACTTTCCTTCCTTCCTGTAGTGTACAAGAGAGGAAGAGAAATCTAAAAAGGTCTAGTTCATTTTAATGTGTTGTGCCTAAGTAACTTAATGTCTCCACTATTGAGAATTAAAAAAAAATAATAATCTGTTTTGTCAATATAATATAAACTAGATCCTTGAAATTGGTCGGTTCTAATAAGTCGGTTCTAATAGCCAAATTCTGAAGTTTTAAAACTGATGTGGAGGTGTATGGGCCTCCAAAAAGTGGTGCCAAGTATGAACTTCTGCTGCAGATCTTCAGTAACTGAAGGTGTGCTGTTGAGACAGAGCATGAATTTTAAAGGAAGTATAAAAAATACAGAAATCCCTGTGTAGCCTCCATAGTTTTTTCTGAAATGGTAAGTTTACTATTTTTTTCCGATGACTTGCATGCTTTTAAGTCAGGTACACATGACATATATAGTTATTTGTTCCTGAAAACTCAAAATAGATCAGAAATGAAACAAAAGGTCAGATTTTCTTGAAAATCAGAGGTTCCTTATTTTGGTGGAACATGTAGATCTGAAATTCTAGTTTACTACTATCTTCAAAACCGGTAAAATTAGCTTCCATCTTTGTTTCTTTCATATGAAGAATTGGTCAATAACGGCTGAATTTGACTTTTTGTAGATAATTCTTGCTTTTAGCATACTGCACAGGTTTAATCTTATATCAAAATAGAAGTGGTGTGTATGAAACTGCTACTAGGTAGCTATTATTTCCAAGAGTTGATTTGCTTTTTAATTGAAGAAGGAGTGCGTATGTGTGAGAGCCTATGCATGCATATATATGTCTATATATACACATGTGGACCTTTTTGCATATATGGGGCAGATCCACTTGCATGTTAGGTTTAGAAGGACGAGTAATCACATTATTTTGTGCAACTTTGTTCAGTGCTGTTGGAAAATATTTATTCTGATTATGTGCCTTATCAGATCGTCAGTGAAAGTATCAGGTTTTATTTTATGTAAATCTGCAGGGAAAAATATGTATTTCTGCTGCACCTTTCTTTCGATTATGTTTAAGATTTCATAATACTTTTAGTAACTATTCATTGAAATGAAAAAATCCTTACTTACTATAGTTTGTTCATTGTGGCTTCAAATTGGATAGATTTTATAGCTCATCCAAAAAAGTTTGTAATCTTCTGGCAGTACTCCTAATGAAAATCCAGCTCTGCTTATGCTATCACAGTTAAAAAGAAGAAAAGAAAAGAAAAAGAAAAAAAAGAAACACGAAGCAAAGCCCCCAGGAAGACCACAGAAGAATTAAAATAGCTCCAGGCATATTCTGTACACTTTTAGTTATAATCTGACTTTTCTAGCTTTCTTTGCCAACCTAATTTTTGTAAATAAATATGTACCTATATACAAAGTAAATATACAACTGAAGTTTTTCTAAGTAATTACAGCAACTAAAATTTAAATCATAGCAAAATGGTAGGAAAATAGATTATGATAGGAAATCGTCATCTGTTGTCTTGCTTTTGTGATAGAACATGCTATTCTGCTGCAGATATTCTTATATTATAGTTTCCCAACCAGTGAGTGACTGAGGGAGGTCACTGCATTGATCATACTGCATTTTGATTTGGGGTTCTGGGTTTGTTTTGAAAGAGATAAAAACTGCTGCCATAGGAGGAAAGAGTTTTATTACAGAATTTATACCATAAATAGAGACATAATAACACATTTCAAAGTGGATGGAGGTAATGGTACGGCTATCACCAGGAGATGAGCAGAAGTCTTCCCATCCCTGGGTCCCTCTCAGTTCTACTGGTACATGCAGAAGCATGCCTTAAGGCAGCAAAGGATTCCTCCCTTTTGCTTTCTTACCCCTGGTCAGCAGAGAGGGGTTCAGAAAGGTCATCTGCTTGTTCTTTTTAAGTGCTAACAGTGCTTTGCAGCTGTTCTGACACTACATCTTCACCGTCATGCTGTCAGAGATTTGATAGTGTCACATCTCTATGATGTAATCAGCCTGATGCAATTGCCTGCTGGGACAACAAGACAGGTTTTTCTCTTTAAGGCAAATGGACAGGATGACTGGCTGTGTTTTTGTTTGTTGAAGGACTAGAGGATTTTCATTCTTTAGCCACTTCTAATGGAGGCCAACTTTTCTGTCAAAAGCATTGAGAGTAATAGTTTAAAAGGAATTGCAAAATAATTTGGGATGTTTACTTAATTGAGATATCCAAAACATGATAATCAGTACAGATAGGAAGACTTAAAATACCAGCTCTGAGATAAATATGAACAAAGCTACTAGAGATGCAACTGGTGAGCCTTTTGAGACATAGACTCTGTTTTTTTCTGAATAGGAGTTCTTTGAGACTACTTTTATTTTCCATGGTGCTCAACAACAGTAATTTCAGTAATCTGACTAGTTTTCCATTGACATTGATTGAGAAACATTAGTGATCTGATGTAAGGTGAGACTTTGCCTGGGATATTGTATATTTTTCCTGTTACTGGCTCAAAACAAATGAGAGTAGAAGAAATGCAGAGATGGAGAGCTGAAGAGCTTGGAAGAATGAGGAGCTTGTCTAGTCTCACATGACACTGATGTCGGGTCATTTTTCTAAATGGAAATACCTTGCCATGTTTATGAGATATTTCTACGTAAGAACCAAAGTTATTTGCTGCCCATCTCCTGTTTGTGAAGTTTAACATCATCAACCTGAAATGAAGCCATAGGCGTTAACGTTTCAGAGAGAGGTTATGTATTGTGAAGTGGAGCTGAAATCAAGTGTTGTCACAAGGTGAAAACTGCGAGAAAAAAGACTCTGTTCACTTATGTGTGTCTGTGAAATGGATACTTGGAAGGAATCCTTAAGGCTGTGACTGCTTCACTCAGGAAGTAACTGGCAACCTGAACAAAACCATGTGAGAATCTCACAATGTATTTCCCTATGTAAAAATTGCACATGTCCTCACGTGGAATTCCCTGCTACAGT